GTTGCAGATAGACGTCTATGTCATTTCCCGGTTGTTTTGGCCCCGAGATCATCATAAACAACATGATGTACTTCCGCTTCATACACAATAAGGGAGAAAGATTATAAACAACCAATAAAACTGGCCATGCACTATGCTTGCTGCTTAGGCTACCATATGGATTCATCCCGTCCGTACAAAGACCGAGCCTAATGTTTCTTGGATCATTTCCAAAGGAAGGAAACAAGTGGTCTATTTTCTTTCATTGAGGGGAATCACCGGGATGTCGGAGCATACCATCGTCTATCCTCTCATCAGCATGCCATCTCAAATTCTTTGCCTCCTTTGCACTAGCAAAAAGACGTTTGAATCGTGGAATTATCGGAAGATACCACAACACTTTTGTTGGTGGTCTGTTTGTAATCTTAAGAGCATTGGACTTTGTGTGAACTTCCTTTCTGTACCGCGAAACCCCGCACATCGGACACTCATGAAGACTTTTGTACTCATTTCTGTACAAAATACAGTCATTAGGGCATGCATGAATTTTCTTATACCCCAAACCCAACGGGCACAAAATTTTCTTTGCCTCGTAATTAGAGTTTGGCAATTCATTGTCTTCAGGAAGCATACTTTTTAACAAGCCAAGCAATTCCATAAAACTCTTATCGCTCCATCCATTTGCAGCCTTCAATGTGATTAGTTTTAACACAGCGGACAAACGTGAAAAGTTCTCACAGTCTTTGTACAAAGGCTTTTCTGCATTCGTCGACAAGGTCTCACACACTCCGCTTGTGTATACTTGCTCAAAGGCTTCAGCTCCAATATCATTAATCATCTCTTCCACTCGATCATACATATCTTCATCAACTTCTTCATTTTTTGGCCTACTCGGCATATCAAATTCACCATGCCATATCCATTTGGTGTAACCCTTATTGAAACCATCGCAAACCACATGCTCTCGAATTTGATCAGCACTTAATCTCCTCTCATTCAGACAATTCACGCACGGACATAAGAACTTCCCGTTACTGTCAGGATCATGCTTGCTAGCAAACTCTAAGAACTCATTTACTCCATTTTCATATTCTAAACTTGTCCGGGGAGCATAAACCCATTTACGATCCATAACTACATAACAAAATAAATTTTACATCAACAAATATCATTTAGATAAATAAATAAATAAATAAATAAATAAATATCTATTTATATCAAGACTACTATAATTTAACAATTACAAGCCATATTTTGATTTTTGAGCACAAAAAAAAAATGTGCAATCCAACATCTATGATATCTCAAATAAGACGTAACTATCAA